AACATAGTGTTGTCATTATTGTTTATTGTTGTTGCTTTAAAAAAAGAAACGCCTCAATTTCCGTCAGGACTTAACATATAAATTGGAAATCTAGCCATGAATTTCAGACAAAACAGTTTTAAAGGATGAAATGTATATTCATGGCAATGCAGTGTGAACAGCTCTTCAAATTTGGGGGATAGTCTCTGTAGAGCATAAAAGATATTAAGCAAGCTGCAGAATCTTACTTTTCCCTCCAAGGAAAATCACTGCTTTGGTTCTTTAAAAAAAAAAAGAAATTATGTCTTATAATTTCTGAAAATAATTTGCTAAGTGATCATCCCATTAAACATTTTAGCTCCGTAGTGCTCAGCGCAGAGCAATTTTGCCCCCAGGAACATTTGGCAATGTCAACAGACAGGGGTGTGGTACTGAGACCCCGTGGATAAAAGCCAGGCATGCTGCTAAACATCCCACCTAGCAAGGGACATGCCTCCACAACCAAGAATTATTCAGACGAAAGCATCAGTGCTGGGGTTGAGAAACCCTGCTCTGTTTATGGCTTATATGACTGTACATGTCTGATTAAAAACTAAAAATCTTTACTATTATCAGATTTCTACAATTCCAAAATGTACCTTTGATTTAGAGAAAAAATATTTGGATATTTGACTTCAGTGGTTGCTTATTAAAATAATGCAGATACTACTCCAAATAAGTAACTTGGCATTTGTGCACCTCAGCACGTGACTCAAGTGCCTGAGGTTGGCCTGGTCAGCATTTAGAACCACTCAGCTGCAAATGGATCCTCTGAAAACAAAAGAAACTAGATTGTGCAAAACTGTCATTTTCCTTCCTCCTCTGGCAGATTGAGAAGATAGAATGGGACTCATGGACCTGCGTTCTGGGGCCCACCTGTGAGGGAATCTGGCCAGTACACAGCGACGTGACGGACGTCAATGCTGCCAGTCTCACCAAAGACTGTTCCCTCTTGGCCACGGGAGATGATTTTGGTTTTGTTAAGCTTTTTTCATATCCTGTCAAGGTAATATTTCATGTTTGTTATGTGTCCTTGCTCAGCCTCATTAATAACCCCAAAGCTATCTGTTACATCTAGGTGGATTTTTAAATTCTGAAGGAATAGGCAATCAATAATGTTATTTACAGTATCACTTGGGCTGTATAAAAAACCTCCTGATGTTTTGTTTGAGCGACTGACTAAAGTGAAATTCTTGTAGCTTAAAATTTCTTCTTGAAAGGGCTTTTAGAGGTCATCAAATCCAGCATCTTGCTGACTTTAAGTGATGAGTCATCTTTATGACATCTCAAACCACTATTTTTCTAATTAGTACTAGCACACTTCCAGGGATGAGCAACTTACTACCTCACAAAGCAGTCCGGTTCTTTTTTAAAAAGTTCCAGTTTTTTAAAAAAAAGCTATTGCTCTGTATTGAGAATTCAGAATTCCTTTCTCCTTAGCTGATGGTCTGGCCTCTGAACCAACTTTGAACCATCATTCCTGTCCTCTAACAGCCTTTGGAAGTAAGAGGATGATATTTGACCCACTTTAGCCTCATTTTCTCCAGCCTAAACCTCTGCAGTTCCTTCAGTCATTTCCCACATTCTATGGTTTACAGCTGTGCCCTGGCATTTATTTTTATCAATTTCTGCTTAAACTGTCTCATCTAGAACTGAAGTCAATGCTTCAGGTGCAATCTGACCAGCTCACAGCAAGCAGGACTTCTTAGAGCCCTACACTCCTTGGTTTTGGTTTTACATTTGCATTCAATCAAACTATAATGACATCCGCTGAATTAAAGTCAAATTACAGATGTCAGTCTTTAAAATATTCCATTTATCCCCATCCTGTACTTAATGCAATTGATTTTCTGAGTAAAGAACTTTATATCTGTATCCCTCAAAAAAAGTTTTCTCTTATTTATTTAATCCCATTGTTTCAGCCTATCAATATCTTTTAAATACCTTTTGGAAATATTTACTCTTCTACTTTTAGCATCATGTCATCTTCTGCTTTCACAATTGAGTTCTAGATCATGGAAAGACAAATAGAGAAACTAGAATACTACTGTAGCAGGAACCCCATTCTGACATTCCATTTGCTAAGCCACACATTTAGTTGCAGTTCTTTGATCAATAACAGAATCTTACATCATTCTGACTGTATAATCATGCAGCCTAGTCCAATAAGACTTTGTTAAATTACTAATGAAACACCCTATAAAAGATGTGAGGTTAGTTCACAGTGAAGCCCTGCTGGTAATCACTTGATTCCTTTCACAAGGGCTTATTGAACTTCCGTGTGATATTTCATCCCAGAATTTCCCACAAATTGCATCAGATCATGAACCAATATTTGCCAGTCTGTTTGTTTTCCCTTTGGGACACAGAAACCTTTTTGTGCCTGATGCCACCTCTCCTGATTTCTAAACTCCCCAGCTATTGTTGATACTATTTCTGGGGTCTCCTTTCATGACATCCATCGTTGTGTAAATGAACCTTTCTGTTTTGAAGAGCCTTCTCTTTGACAGAGGAGTTAAGTCAGTCTGTTTTCTGTTAATATTAAGCCATCAAATCTAAGAAGTATTCCTAATTTTTTTCTGTTTATCTTCTTAGTGTTTTACAATAGCTTTCCTGAAACTACACCAAGGGTCCATGCCAGACTTTTTTTTTTTTTTAAGGAGCATTGTTTTGATCATAACTTAAGGTTTCTTTGTTTTGTTTTTGTTTTGTTTTTAGTTCATTTTGTTTTTTTTGTGCAAGATTTCTGTGTTCCTCCGTGAGGATTCGCTCCTCCTCCTATTATTCACACTTTTCAAACCTGAACACACTAGTTCTATTGGCAGGCACTTTGGTTTCTTTGGATGCTTTTTTGTTTTTCCTCTTCATTTGTTAATATCTGGCTGGATTATTGTTTTGAGTAGCCCTAAGAGACACATTTGATTGTGTCTAGTGTTCCCTTCATTGTCTATCCCAAGTTCCAGAGTCACCTGGTAACCTTTGCCCAATGACCTATCCCTTCTCCTTCACTTACCAGCCTTTCCTGTTTGATCAGAATTCAATTCTAAGTAGCCATTCTCCTTGATACTTCTTTGAAAAAATAAATGAAATTGCTTTCAGGACAAGTCAAAAAAAATTGATACTGTGATTTTAGTAGATTACAGTTTGGGCAGGCATTTAGACAGCAGAAACCCTTGTGATACTATTATCTCATCCCTTCTAGGATTATTATTGGTCCTGGGATTTTAGCACCCATCTTCCTAGCCTGGTGAGGTGGGATATGTATATCATTTTAAGCTGTGTTCCTCAGACTCCCAGAGTTCCAGAGAATTTTCCTAGAGGCCACCTCAGGAAGGAGGACAGAGGCCCAGTGGAGGGCTCTGGGTTCTACCCCTGCTTCAGTTAGAATCACTGTTTTCTGTGTCTTATTCATAGAGCATCTGTGTAAGATATTTTTCCCCCAACGTTTTATTGTGAAAAACTTTGAGCAAACGGATAAAATGAAATGATAACAATGAAAACTCCTAGAAACCCACAAACTACATTCTACAATTAAAAGTACATCGTGGAATTAATTTTAAAAAGTCTCAACTTTACACTTTGAGGAACTATTTAAAGAAGAACTAAATGAAGGAAACAATAAAGATTACAACAGAAACAAATGAAGCTTGGCCTGATGGCACACGGTTGTAATCCCAGCTCCTCAGAGCCAGTGCCAGGAAGACCACAAGTTCAAGGCCAGCCTGGGAAACTTAGACTCTTTCTCAGGGGGAAAAAAAAGATTGGGGAGACATGGTGCTATAGTTCAGTGGTAAAGTGTGCAAGTCCCTGGATTCAATCCCAGTACTGCCAAAAAAGGAAAGAAATGAAATGGAGATTATTAAGATAATAGATCAATAAAACTAAGACTTTGTTCTTTTATTTTTAAATATTTATTTTTTAGTCGTGGTTGGACACAGTACCTTTATTTATTTATTTTTAGGTGGTGCTGAGGATTGGATCCAGGGCCTTGCACGTGCTAGGCGAGTGCTCTACCACTGAGCCACAACCCCAGCCCCAAGAGTTTATTCTTTTAAAAGATTAAATTGACAAATCTTTAACTAAACTAACCAAGAAAAAAAAAGAGGGCTCAAACACAATTATAAGTGAAAGAGGAGATATTACATGATACTATAGCAATACAAAGGATCATAAATCTACTATAAACATACGTCAACAGATTTGGATAAACTAGAATAAATTGATAAATTTCTAGAAACATACACCCTACCACGCCTAAATGATAAAGAAGTAGAAAATCTGAACAGACCAATAGTGAGTAAGGAGGCTGAATCAATAATCAAAATCTGCCTTAAAATCTAGAATCAGGGGCTGGGATTGTAGCTCAGTGGTGGAGCACTTGCCTGGCATGTGTGGGGCACTGGGTTCAAATCTCAGCACCACATACAAGTAAATAAATAAAACAAAAGTATTGTATCTATCTGCAACTAAAAATATATTTTAAAAGTCCAGAATCAGATGGCTTCGTGGGTGAATTATACCAGACATTTAAAAAAATTAGTGTCAAAACGTTTCATTCTTTCAAGAAAAAAGATGAGGGGAACATTTTTAAACTCATTTTATGGGGCTGGCATTATCCTCATACCAAAGCTAGATAATGACGCTATAAGAAAAGAGAATTATAGGCCATTTATACCTGGTGAACTAATAGGTGCAAAAATTTTCAACAAAATGCTAGCAAACCAAATTTGAATATTAAAAGGTTTATATACCGTGATCCAGTGCAATTTATCCCTGGCATTCAAGGATGGTTGAATGTATGCAAATCAACAAATGTGATGTGCCACATTAACAGAACGAAGAATAAACATGGATGATCGTCTCCATATATATGAAAAAAGCATTTGACAAAATTCCACATCCTTTTATGATTAAACACTCGCAACAAATTAAGAGCAATGTTCTTCAACATTAAAAAATGCCATAAATGATAAGCCCACAGCTAACATAACAATACTCTATGGTGAAAAACTGAAAGCTTTTCCTCTAAGTTCAGGAATGAGGCAAGGAAGCCCACTCTCACCACTTCTGTTCAGTATAGTTCTCAGTGATAGAGTGCTTGACTGTCATCCTCCTATTTGCAAGAACAAGAATAAAACTGGAGGATGCTATGCTACGTGAAATAAACTAGACACAAATTCAAATGCTTATATGACCTCTCTTGTATGTGGAATCTCACACAGCTGAACTCATAGACACAGAATGGTGGTTGCCAGGAATGGGGTAAATGTTGGTGAAGGGGTACAGACATTTAGTTAGGATGAATAAGTTCTGAAGATCTAATTAAATCGTGGTGACTATAGTTAATAATGCTGTATTATTTACTTGAAATATGCTGAGAGTTGATCTTATCGTATACAAACACAAAATGGTAATAGTATATGGTACTGGATGTGTTAATTAACTTCATAGTGGTATCCATTCCATAATGTTACATATATCAAATCACCACACTGTACACCTTGAATATATATAATTTTTGCCAATTATATTTTGATAAAACTGGAAACAAAGTGAATTATCAGGATACTCTTAATTGCATGTCAAAATTTGTTTCATGGCATTTTTAATATAATTTATGTAGTTGAAATGCACAGATTTTGAAGTTTCTGTTAGGCGAGCTTTGAAAGCTCATACACATATATGACCCAAACTCTGATGAAGATGTAGAGCATCGTCCTCACCCCAGGATACTTCCTGAAGCTCCTCCCTCATCAGTTCCCAGCCCCTACTTTACCCTCAGGTAAAACAGCTGTTTCAGTGTTGTTCACCAACAGATTAATTTAACATGTTATAGAATTTCTTGTTAACATGATCAAGTAGGTACTGTTTTGCATCTGGCTTCTTCCACTCAGATAATCTTTGAGATTTATCTACATTGTATGTAATGTCTGTTCATTGTTATAACTGAGTGAAAAAGTCCACTGTCTAACAGAGTTATATATAACAGGGTTTGTTTATATGCATTGATGGGCACATACTTTTCCAGTTTGGGATTGTGATAAAGCTGCTATGAACATTTTTGGATGAATGTTTGTGGATCCTAAGTAAATACTTAGGATTGGAGTTTCTGGATCATAGGGGAAAATATATGTTTGGCTTTTAAGAAACTGCCAGACCTTTTAGCACAGTGGCTGCATCGTTTTACATTCCTGCCAAAAATGTAAGAATTCTGGTTGCCAGCATTTGGATTGGCACTTACCATTTAGCTGTTCTGAGTGATAGATGGTTGCTATGGATTATGTTTTTAATGTACATTTCTGTGATAACTAATGATTCGGAACACTTTCATCTGTTGGCTATTTGTGAAGTGTCTCTGCAAATCTTTTGCCCATGATTTTAAGCTAAATTGCTTCTTGTATATTGAGTTCTACTGTATAATATTGGAAGAAACAGTTTCATAGTTATTTTTCTTCAAAAAAAAAACTGTGGCCAATATGAATTCCTCTGGTGGTGTCACCTTCATTCCTTCTCTATTTTTATCTGATTTTTCAGCTCAGTTTCCTTTTCCAATATGCGGCCTCATACTAATGAGTATTTCTACCTATGTGTCATTCCTCCAAGCTTCCTGGGTTTTTTGAACAAAGTTCACTTCCGTTTTCAAGTGACTGTGTCCTTCCTTCAAATTTCTACGTTGAAACCCTCATTCCAGTGTGGTTGTCTATAGAGCTAGGATCTTTACAGAAGTAATTAAAATTAGATGAGTTCTAAAGGTCAGGCCCTGACCTGACAGAATGAGTGTCCTTTTAAAAAGAGACACCAGAGTGTACTCTCTTTGCAAATGTTTGTGAACAGACACTGAGGAAAGCCCAGCGAGCTCACAGATGGGAAAGGTCTATCTAGAAGTCAGGAAGAGAGCCTGAGAACATTCCTATACCATACCATTGCTGCAGTCTGCCACTGAGTTCCATGTTACCAAGTCTTGATGGTACCTGTGAGATCTTATTACCACCACACAAGTGCAAAATCCAAGCTCCATTTATTATATGCTGAGGCCTTGGGTCTTCCTCTTGACCCTGTCCCCCATACTCCCTTCCCTCTAATTACTAGGCATCTCTTCCAGGCATTTTTCTTTTTATGGCAAACATATATCCTTATTAATATTTGGGTTTACAGTTTAAAGCCTTCCCACTTAGGTTGTTGGTTCCCTGACAGTCATCTTGTCCCCAGAATCCAGGCCAAAGCCTACACCCTTTGCCAGAGAGTCCATCCACTCTGCCCATACCTTAAACCACTTTCTAGAAAATCAAATTCTTTGACACCATCTTTATAGCTAACCAATTGCTTCTCATAGCCTCATTTCCCTTTCAAACCTAAGTCTTCCCACTGGAGAGGGGCTAAAAGACCACCACTCAGCTTACACTTGTACAAATCCTCCATGCTCTCAAGTCTGCAAGTTTCATTTTCAGAACATCAACATTTTATAGCTAGAGAAACTATATGAAGTGTTGTGGTTATGGGGAGAGAGTCATCAGATTCTCAGGAACTTCTTTCCTAAAAATGGTTAAGAACCCAGCATGGGGGTGCACACCTGTAATCCCAGCAATTTAGGAGGCTGAGGGAAGAGGATTGCAAGTTTAAAGTCCAGCTTCAGCAACTAATTGAGGCCCTGTCTCAAGATTTAAAAAAGGACTGGGGATGTGGCTTCGTGGTTAAGCACCCCTGGGTTCAATCTCCAATACCACAAAATAATAATAGTAATAAAACAGTGCTCTGGAGACATATTCCAGATTCTCCTGGCTCATTTTTCACTCATGAGTCACTGAGAGAAGAGAATTCTGGAGAAAGAGTCCAGAAATGCAGTTTGGCATGGTGGCCCATGGAGGCAGCTCTTCTGACTGGCTGTGCCAGTCTTCAAAAGTCCCTCCATGTGCCCTAATAGGAACCACCCAGCATCCCTTGCCGACCTCTTCCTCCTGAGACAGCAGGACCTTCTAGTAACTGTGATTCCCTTTATTGTTCCATGGATCACTGATCTTGTTTCCTATTACGAGAATTTTGAATCGCCCTCTGCAGGAAGGATCTCAGCTTTGTTAAGTAGTTTCAGTGGCCCATAGTATTGTCCTCTTTCTCTGTCCTGCGTCTTCTCTCTACAGAGTGACTGTGGTCACCTTAACGTCTGTTTAAATTCTCCCATCCTGTCCACAAACCCTGTGTCCCCTCTGATAAGGGTGCAGGGAGGCATGTCTCAGGTTCTTTCACTTTCTCCTCTTGTAGAGGAACCAACTTGGAGTAGATATGCGTGGGTGGGTTTGTGCTTCCAGCAGGAAGGCCAGCAGGACACATGGCTATAGCCACTGTGACTATCCTGTACCTGGATCTTACATAGTCACACGGGGGTTCCCCTGGGAATTGTGCCTTTATTCTGCCTGTGTGCTAGCAAACGAGGGATTGTGGAGAGCTCTTGGAGCTGCTGCCTGCCTGATTGCTTCACTGATCTTTCTAGAGTCACTACTCTGCTGTGGAGCAGGCAACTCCACTAAACTGTCAGGGAGGGTCAACCAGAGACAGCTCTTGACCAAGAGTACTTCAGAGTCACCCACGCGCCAGCACCTGTTTCCTGCCCTGTGTCTGCGCTGGTTTTAGGTTTTCTAGTGGCCCTTCCAGAGCCCTGTGGAAGCCTCTTGTCAGTTATTTACTAAAGTTCTCATCTGGGACACCCGTGGCCGTCTCATGACCTCCAAGAGTTCATGTGGCTTCGCTCATTGCGTAAGGTATTCCCTGGGAGCCGCTGAGAAGATGGAAAACTCTACCTCTTTAAATGGCTCCCTCTGGGAGATGTTGTTGCCGGTGTCTCATGAGCCTAAAATGGAAGCTCCTCCTGGTGCCAGCTTCGGTTTCCCAGCACTTGCCAGGGCTGCCCTGGAGGGAACTGCTGACCGCATTCCACCCTCTGCCCCTTGCCACCTGGGGTCAACGTGGTGGCCTGGGCACCCCACTCCAGGTGCTTCCAGTAATTACTACTAAATTTGGGTCTTATTCGACTTTGTGGGTGGAGCAGGAGCTGGCTTTGCTTTTAAATCTGTGTTTTGAGTGTTTCGTGTTAGAAATGGTTTCCAGTGGCCACAGTACAAACCGCTGCTGTGTTTGTTGTAAATCTTGAGATTCCTTGCTTTTCTGTCATTTCTGGGTCTGTGGTACAAAAGCCACTGTAGGAATGGTGGGGAAGACACTTTTGATCTCAGATGTCAGCCAGACTCTCAATCAGAAGTTAATACTTGGAGACCCATGGAGATGGCACATTTGATATGTGACAGAAACAGGCTTTTGATGCAGCTAGAGACTCCTAGAAACATTCATTGCCTCAAAAGGTATTTATTGAGAACCTATTATGAGCCAGGAACTAAGAGACCTAGTCCCTGCCCTTGTGGAACATGTGTTCAGGTGACATGTAGGGAAATTTCTCTTTGGGATGAGCTGCTTCATCCCATCGAGTAGAGTCCACCTAGAAAACAACATGGATGAAATAACCCAGAAAAAAAATAATAATAACAAGCCACTGACTGGGGTAGATGCCAATGTCTGGCTTTATATACAGGGGCAGCATGCAAGGTTCAAGAAGTACGTGGGGCACAGTGCCCACGTCACCAACGTGAGATGGCTGCACAATGACTCCGTGCTGCTCACGGTGGGCGGCGCCGACACAGCCTTGATGATCTGGACCAGGGAGTTCGTGGGGACCCAGGAGAGCAAGCTGGTGGACAGCGAGGAGTCTGACACAGATGCGGAGGAGGATGGAGGTGAGTCCCAAATAGCCACACGCCTCTGGTGCCACCGCACCTCCCTCTATGGCCCCTCCTGAGCCATTGCAAACCAACTCACTCCCCAATTTCTTTGTGTCGTTTGAGGCTATGACAGTGATGTTGCTAGAGAGAAGGCCATTGACTACACCACCAAGATCTATGCTGTGAGCATCAGAGAAATGGAGGGCACCAAACCACACCAGCAGATGAAAGAAGTGTCCATGGAAGAAAGGTATGGTGTCGCAAGGTTTGTCTGTGTTGGTTGTGCCTGACAAGAGACTGATTTAAACCAGAATGCATTTGTCCTCAAAAGCTGGTACTTAAGCAAGTCTTTTATGATCTGTAGACTTAACCTATATATGGTTTCAAGCTGGGGACATTGCCCAGTGTCCTCACGATTTGTCCTCACAACATGGCACTTGATAGGACTTTCTGCCTAGTAATAACTATTAATAAATATAATGTCACCTCTTATCACTCTTTGTAGAAGTTGATTATGGGTACGACTTGAACAGAAGTGAAATTTTGTTGGAACTTCTCTAGCCTTGCTGGATCTGGAGAGGATGCCAGGATAGCCCAGAAGCTGTCCCGAATTCGATGGTTGACAGGAACATATGCTGATTAGTGAGATAGGAGTGAAATCGGGCTTTTCTCATTCAACAATATTTGTGGAGTTGTGAAAAATCTTCCATTCTGACTAGAGTCTTGCCATACCTAGTCACTTGGTATAGATCTCTTATTGTGTCTTCCCTTACCCAGAATTGTTCCAGGAGGTCAGTAATTCCACATCTAACTCATTTGATTTCGTTGCCTTGAATGCTATACGTGAAAGAAGTTTTCTAGTAGCATGGGATTCCTTTTGATGAGTGATTTTAAGTATAGATAAACTGTCCAACATTGTAGCATTCTAAAAAGCAAAACTCATAATTATGTAATTGACCACATTTGTACTTTGGATGATAATGAGTAAAGATTCTCATACTTAAAGTGAATTTCATGGATCTCAAAGGTACTTTAAGAATTCTCTGTGGCACTTCACCTTGTGGTGGGCTTGGTGTTCACAACTATGTTAGTCCTGTGATGTATAAGTCATGAAATCAAGTAATTTGCACTTGATAGGACTTTCTGCCTAGTAATAACTATTAATAAATATAATGTCACCTCTTATATTAGGTGGGAGTTTAGATGAAAAGAAAGAAAATGTGACTCCCAACCTTCTGCTTCAGTTCAGTGCCAGATGATAAAATAAGCTTGATAAGTGGTGGGTGTGCTTCTGGCAAGAAGATGGTATCTGATGCAGAAAAGCACTAATTTTTCCCTAGCATCCTCATTAAATGTTGCTATGATGGCTCAGAGTTCTCTTTTAATTAAAAACACAGATTTTTTTTTTGCAATGGTCTGTATAGAAGTGTAGTTTATTTTGTTTGCAACATGGTTTTAAAGTGACCACAAAGACAGGAGGACTTAGTTCTAAGAATTAAGAAAAAAATGAACCATATGCACATAAGTATATGAGTAGGCCTCCCACTTAACTAATCCACTCTAAAAAAAAAAAAACATTTGGTTGGTCTAAGTTAAAATTCTTTTGGGGGGAAAAGAATTATCCGTCCTTTCCAATTGCACATTCCATTGTGAAGTGCATTGACTTGACCATTATTCCAAGGTTGTTTCTGGCTGATGTCTACAAAATGTGATGGTGTCTCATGCTGAGATTTAGACCAGTGTAAAATATAGTCAGCTAACCAAAGTCTTAATTCCCAAATAATATAGCTGATTTCAAACTTAATCCACAGCTCATCTGAATCTCTCCTTGTCTTATATCTCTAAGACTGGGCTACAGAAGTGTTGCACTGTCCAATTTAGTATAGGGTGGGAGGTGTAAGGGTAGAGAGAACCTTGAGGATTTTTCCATTTTAAGATTCAGAATTTTGAAGTTCCCTTACTGCATCATGCAGTTGCAAATTTGTGATACATTAGCACACACTGAATTCACTTTTTTTAACAAAAGAAAAAAAATACTTCATACTATTATGAGATATAGGAGTAGGCCTTTCAGTGCTTTACTGGCACTTTTAAAAATAATTCACACTAGAATGCAGCGAGGAAAACAATTTTAAGATAAGTATAGGGTCCGGAGGAATAATCAAGTGTTTTCTATAGAGAGCAACTTCCTTGATAACTTTAAAAGCCTTGACAGCATCAGTTTGCAGAAGGGGCTGTAACCAGAGAGACAATGCCAGCTGCACAGCATGCTGGGAGCACAGCGTGCCCACGCCAGCCAGGGCAGCAGTAGATGATACCTGACTTAGCAGCCTCCATGGAGGCAAAGCAGAGCCAAGGACAAGCAGTCTCTACCCACCCCCGTCAGTCATTTTTGGGGAGCCTGAACCTCAGAAATCAGGCTGTAGGCAGCTTCTGAACCAGTGCCAGTAAAAAGGCACATTTAGGCATTTGTGAGAAAGCAGGGTGAGTGATGAAAGGTGGGTTCTTTTTTTTTTTTTTTTTTTTTTTGGTTCTGGGGCTCAAACCCAGAGCCTGGTGCATGCTAGGCAAGCACTCTAGCCCTGAATTACATTCCCAACCCTGGATGGTACTCTTGACCATAAATGACATAGAACTCTTTAGTGCTCAGCTAGGTAGAAAACAGGTTGCAGGGACTCAGGGATCCTAAGAATTAGGGGCAGTGACAGAAAAATGCTGAGTGCCTCAGACATCAGGAGCATGGAGCCAAGCAGCACTCAGTTCCTCCCTGGGAATATTCAGGACTGTCAACCAACAGCTCCTGAAGCTGCTCCCTTTAACTATTCAAGCCCTGCTGATTTGAGAGGCACAGGCTCTCCTTGACTTTCCCTTCATTGTCCCCTTCCTGGTGCTCGATGCCAGCAGATACCTGGGCGCGTTTCCTAATCACCTAGGCTGAAACATACTCCCATGAAACTAATGAGTGACAAGCACTCAAAGATGGAGATGTGCACTTGAAACAATTGTTCCATGCAGGGACCTATTTTGTCTCTTATTAATGTTCCAGGCAATTCTGTCTCTAATTAAATCTCTTTCCACCTCTAAAAGCAGTTGGAAACCTTGAGATGAATAGAACATCTGTCATACTGAGAAGAAAAAAATGCCTTGAAGACAGCTGTGCATTATGCATCAATCATTTTCTAACCAACCAAATGCCTAGTGCCTAAATTGTAAGACAGTCATGGGCTGTTTCTAATTAGTTTCAGTTATCGGATTTTAAAATAGCTATGAGACTTTAGATCATGCTTTTCTGTGCAGTTTCTAATACATTGTAAGTTCTTATTCTTCAGAAATCATATGATCTTCAGTTCCAGTCTTTTGAGAAATGAGAAAGTTGAGAACAAAGTTGTAATTGCTCTCATAATAATACTCAGTGGTTCCTGCCAAATGTGGAATATCTTACAGGTGTTTATCCACCCACTTCAACTTTGCTCCGGCACCTTGCTTTCTTCCTTGACTTAGACTTGGTTAGCCAGTCCCCAACCTTGGGTAAACCTGTTGTTCAACTGCCACGTGCAGCACGTGGCTGAGAAGTCCTGAAGTCTTTTCCATTCTTGGGAATCCGTGCTTTTGCCTGTCATCTGAACACTCAGGGCTGCCCCACACTGCTCTCCTTCATCCCCAGCTGACTCAGATCTAATTCTGGCCTACAGGAATTTTTCCAAACCTTCCCTGCCTCTCAGGTTCCCTACTCCAACATGGCATATCCCTTACTCTCAACTTTTGACCTCGGATCCTCCTTTGCCATGTTTTCTCATAAGGCCATGGCTGTTTTGTCCACCTGCAAACTTGAATTATTTAATAGATATTTAAAATGTCAGGAAATTCCTTTTGAAAAAAAGAAGGGGGGAAGCATAGTTTTTCTCAAAAATTTAAGGAATAAAATGCTTACTGTTAGCCAGGCATGGTGGCGCATATCTATAATCCCAGCTGTTTGGGAGGCTGAGGCAGGAGGATCGCTAGTTCAAAGCCAGCCTCAGCAACTTAGTGAGGCCCTAAGCAACTCAGTGAGACCCTGCCTCTAAATAAAATACAAAAAAGGGCTAGGGATGGGTCTCAGTGGTTAAGTGTCCCTGAGTTCAACCCCTGGTCCCCACCCCTGCCACCCAACAAAAACACTTACTGTCATCACAGCACAAAGGACTGTACTGAAATTCGGTATTCTGACTTTGTTTCTTCTCCCAATCTAATTCGATGACAAAATCCCTAATGTTTGCTCAGTACCAAAGTACTAGAGTTACCTATAAAACTAAGAAGTTTCTTTCACCACATTATCAAAGCCACCTCTAGATTATGTGTTGTTTTTGATTGATAAGATAGGGCTCTTCAAGAGAGTCACCCAACCCAAACTGGCCATTTTTTGACTCACACATCTAAAACTTTAGGGACAGAGCAACTTCTGGTGTCTCTCAATATGAGGACTCAAATCCTGCTGCTGAGATTGTGCTCTTGCTCCATATCTCAACTCTACTCCCTCTGGGTTATTGAAATTCTTCAAGTAGCAAAATGGCGACAGTACCTAGACTTTCTAGTCTTTGTGAGTCAAAACCAGCAGGAAAGAACTACCTCTGATTCACAATCTACATAAATGTCCTGTCATGCTCAGGTGGATCCCATGATAACTGTTGAGCCAATCTCTATGGCCCAGAATAAAAGAGACTTTGACACTGAGTATATAATCACATGCCACCCATAGACTAGCAATGTAATCACCTTCACCAGAACCAAATACATTGCAAATGCAGTTACCACCACCCTAAGAGAGACATCCCCAAAAAGTTACTGCATCCAGCCCTATATTTAGCATCTCTAGGTACTGTGAAGTCCTCTCATCCAGGTCCAGATAAAACTCCTCACTGTCCTGTTGCTAATGATGTTAACTATCTTAAATATACCAAGTACACCATGGTGAAGAGAAGACACAATTAGGATTTTTTTTTTTTTTGAACTGTGAACAAGGAAGAATAAGACATAATATGCAATGGTCACTGTTCTATGGCCATATTATCCTCAACTGGACAAGACAGTAGAGCATTCCTGCCCTGGCCATGTGCATGCTTTGCACAATGGAGAGTTGTATGAATGTTGGAAGATGCTGACAGGGTGTAAAGGTTTTGTTCATAGACATACAGCCTTGAAAACCTGAAGTAGGAGGCGACTCTTTTTAAAAAGCACGGCTTCTCAATTCTCCCAAATTCCCACTGGGATGTA